AAGACACAGACGTCCATCCCCGTGAACACTGGGACGCAACTCAATGGGAAAGGAAAGGATTCTGATTTCAACAGAAAAATAACGGGAAAAAACACAGATTTTAAGACAGAATTTTTTTAAATAGACATTTTCTAACTTTTGGGACAATATGGTCTGATAATGAATACATGTTTGAGCCAGAATGATTTGAAACTTAAATATGACTTCCATATGAGTTTAAAGCCTGGAAACGGCTACGGGGAAAATAACATGCAGCTTGGTGAAAAAAGGTCCACTGTTGGAGAATTAGAAAATGGGAGAAGCTAAACATGACTGTCAATCTCCCTCAGACTGGGGCTCCATGCAAGGTCTCACCTGGTGGGGCCTCAATGATCCTAAGAATGTTGAGAAATCAGCCCAGAACGACACGGGAGGAACTGCTCAATGACCTGTAAAGAGCTGGGACCAACGTTTCCATGGTCAATGTTGATAATACCTACACAATGCTTTGGGGTGTTTTTCTGCACATGGGACAGGGCGACTGCGCTGTATTAAAGGAGAGTATGTACAGGGCCGTGAATTGGGAGATTTTGGGGAACAACCTCCTTCCCTCAGTTAGAGCATTGATGAGGGGTGGAGGCTGGGTCTTCCAGCATCACAATGATGGATTTTACTGGACGTCTGACCTTAATGTGGACAAGCAACAGAAAAGAAGCAGCAGAAGCTTCTTTGATGGTGAAATCACATTGTGAACGTAGCATTAGACTTTCTGATTGTTTGAATTAACCTATGAAACATGATATTGTGGCAAAAAATGATCTCATGTCTTCCTTATGAAATGTCCACCTCTAGACAAGCTCACCATTCCACCTCAACATGTAGGAAATAGTATTTCAGAGTCTAAATTTCTACATTTTACTGGGGGAGGATACCCCTGACCCTCCTTTGCCACGCAGAGCCTAAAGTGTACACCCCATGAAATATTTCTAGCTTAGAGCCTGCCCATTATTCTTGTCTTCTCACTGGGGTCTGGATTACTTTGACCTTTCTCCTCCTGGTCATCAGGAACCAAACACAGGGTTCAGGTGAGGTTAAGTTCTGGGGTTTTAGGTCTGAATCGTCCATGTTCTGATGTTTTTGCCTGGTGACATGGCGCTCTATCTGACTAGAAGATCACCAAACCATTCATGAACTGGTGTACGCTGCTGCTGCTGCCTGGTGTCTTTCTGGATGGTTCAAAACGGCCCTTTCCATTCAAAAGCCGGCTGATTGGCGGCCACTTTCCTTTTGCTTCCCGGCAAATTCCGTTCCACTTTCCGGCCCCTGCGTTGCCCCCCTCTTGCATATTGTTACTCTGACTCCACCCTTTCACTGAATTACAGGGTCTGACCAGGAGATGGCGCTTCTCTTTAGATCTTAATGTCTACAAATCATGACAGAAAGAATATTTTAGTGCAGATATTGATGTTAAAAAGGAATTGTAGGGGACCAGCTAAGGACAAGCCAAGGGCCCATCAAGGAAAGAGGGGACATTTTGACTGGCTACTACTGTAACAGAGGAGTAGAACTCCCCCACATTGATCATATCCAGAGGATTCATTACTTTCAGATGACCCAAAAAGGTTTATTACAGAGATGGACTCTGAAGAGGCCTTCCCTCCTGCTGGAAACCATGGTAAAACCTGCTGGACCTCCTAAGGCGTCTAAAAGTCCCTCAGTAAAATAAGCGAAAGTTTATTTTGGTTGCTGCTTAGCTTGGATGCCTAGCGATGATGTCTGCATGTTGTTCTTAGGAGGGAGCAATGGTTCATCAGGAAGATCTGGATAAATCTCAATGATAAAAGGAATTCCCACATCTGGTTTGCCTTTCCATTGAAGAACTTTCTCCTCCCTACGAATGAAGATTCCCTGGCTGTGTCCTTCAGAAACGTTTATCACAAAGTTTCCCCTAAGACTCTGCTGGAAGCTACATGAAGCTAAATCAAAATAAACTCTTTGGTTTAGAAAACTAAAGGCAGTTATTAAGAGGCTTCAGAGGCCAGCTGGTTTCCTCGGCTCTCCTCTCCCACCTGCACGCTGACAGTCCTGGCACAGCCACCTACATACGGATGAATGCAGCAGATGGAGGAGTGGGCGTTTGCCTTGACTCAGCTCCTCATTAGCTGAGCTATTTCTGTCTCCTCGTCCGTCCTTTCTACTAACCACTGTCTGTCTGAGAAGACACAGGTGGGCTGTTGTGACATAGCGTCACTCATCAGCCTCGGGGTTATTACTGAGCACGGGGTTCAGCAGGGGAGGGAACGACACACCATGCAGAGCTGCTTTAGGAGGAGGGAGGTTCCTACCAGCTGAGCTTCCTCCCATCTGTCCTGGTTCTCCTCCATCAGCAGATTGCTCACCGACTGCACAAAGTTCTGCAAAACAAAGAAGAAAGAATCTTCAACCACTTTGACTGACAAGTAGCAGTGTAAACAAATAAATCGAGATTTTTAGCCCCGCCCCCTAATGGCCAGCATCATTGGAAACTAGAGGCTCAGACCTTCCCAAGGAGGGGTCAGAGGTCACTGTGTGACCATTTCAGGTGATGTAACCAGCATGCATTACATAAGCTGCTCTGTTATTCTTATTTTCTATTCAGGTTGGTGATTTTATTGGTAAATTTCAATTAAACAATCTTAGGAGCAAAGGCTTTACCTTCTGCAGAAGGTCTTCAATAATGGAAATCAGCATATTTTTGTGGCCAGATTCCCTTTTATAGAATGCAATTTTGCACTATTGGCATTGTTCAAAAATTCCATTTCCTCCTAGCATCCTTCCCACTAAAACATGCTTCAACTTATTTAGTCCTAATTAGCTTGATTCAAGATGTGGATCTATAAAGTCTGAGGGTTCATCCAGAGTTTCTAATGGGCTTTCATGGAGTTTTAAAGTGTTTTTTTCATTTTTTCCTTGTTTAATCTGATTGTTGTTATAAATCAGACATGGTGACATTTAAAATAGTGGTTCCACCTGTAAAATATTCCTCAATGCCTTTCTGTCCTACAAATATAAACAATTGTATTTCCAATTTATAGTTTGGGAGCTGTACTTACTTTAATTCACATATTTATTTTAGGCGAAATTTGCTCCTAAGACCCTCCAGGGCTTAAGGGGTTAAAGAGAGAAACCTCACGGATGAATGCTTTAGTGTGAACTGCTGGACATCATTTCTGATTCTCTGAACTCAGCCTCTCCCTGATGATTTTTTTTCTCTGTATTTTAACAACATGCATTTAATCCTCATAGCCTTTACTCGGCCATGAAGGTCATCCAAAGTCCTCAGGTTATGCTGCACTGGTGCAGAAAAGAACCAGAAGATAAGCTGCAGACCCTGCCCACCTGCAGAATGCACTATTTATCCCACCTGCAGCAGGAAAACAGTTCAGGAACATTAAATCTAAAACTGGTTGAGTAAATCTTCTGGCTCTTCTTTGCTGAGATCTTTAATCTCCTCCCTAAATAGATTACTTAGATCCACCAGAACAGGAACAGCTTCTTTACCAGACCTGTGAAGGCAGGCGCCCCCTACAGGCAGACAATAGACATCCCAACTCACCTTTACACACACCCACCTGCTGACCGTTAGTTAAACATCCAGCCTGTTTCAATGACTGCTTCAGGACAGGAAGTATCGTATTTGAAAATGTAATATTTCTTTCTTCTGTTGATGTATTTCTATCGTCCAGGATCTTCATTTTCTTTCCTTTGTTTCATTCATGTCTGTCCTGGTATTCTATGTGCAATCTGAGCTGGTGTCTCAACAAACTATCATTACTGTCACCTAATTCAATTCAAAATTCAATTCATAAATACTTAATTTAATTATTGTTTATGATAATAAAGTAGTGTTGATAACAAAATCAAAGAGGAAAATGTGCCCAACGGTTTGCGTCAGCATGCTAAGCCGTTTCTTCCCCTGCCTGCCAGACTGGAACAACTTTTAGAAATCTCAGCAAACAAAGATGACAGATGAGGTTCGTCATTCATTTAACAACGGATGTCTGTCACCCATCAGGATCCCTCAGCTCATTAGGAACAATCTTCTCCAGCATCCGCAGTGCGCAGACTCTAGGGCCGGGAATTTATCGCACCTAATTCAACGCCGGTAAAGCTTAAAAACCACCTCAACAAGCACATATGTCCTCAATGCTAATGTCAGCATCTTCGGTTGGGGCACAGATTCTCCAACCAGCCCTCATGATGGTCTGCAGAGGCTATGGCAGGCCGTTTTGACATTTATTGGCCTGACTGAATATTTCATCCAGATGTCTGAAATGCATTTCTTCCAAGTCAAAATGAACATTTGGAGGATCTTTGGGTATTTGAAAGTTTATTCTTACAAGTTCAATCATATTTTTGGCTTCCTGAAATAAAATTTTGCTGGCAAAAATGTAATTTATGATATCTATATGTACAGTTCTGACTGGTAAGAATGTAGTTTTGACCAGGAAGAATCTTATTTCAGAGATCAGATATGGAACAATAGAGAGGACAGCGCTCTAATAAATGTCAAATCGGCCTGCCATACAGAGCCGACATAAATGAAACGACTCCCTGATAAACATGGTTTTTCGCTCGTAGAAACAGGTTTAAGGAGGAATTTGTCCTGCATGGTATCAATGTTTTAATGGAACAGAAAGCAAAGGTATGTCCTGCATCGTTCTGCTGTTAGTTGTAGAAACAGAATTTAATTTCTGCTTACAGCTAAAGTTTTAACTACTAAAGGCTGCATGTCCTTCCTTATTCAATGAAAGTTTATGTTCTGCTCACACTTCTGTAAAATAGTCTTTAAACGAACTTGGATAAAATATGAGTATTTCTAAAAGAGGCAAAATGATGATTATTTTCAACCAATCTGATGGTTAATTAACCTAAAAAATGGTTTAAAACAATAAAAATATGTGTTGATGTGCTCATGTTTTAATACTGTCAATTATTGTGCTTCAAAGAGGGTTTGTCAATTTAAGAGGTTCATTTAATCAGTGTATTGTTTCAAATTAAAATGAAATTAAATAATAATTACAGACCAGGAGCGTTTAAACAGCCAAAATAAAGCCCACCTTGGTGAACCATAAGGTTTTATTTTGTTTTATCCAACTAAACATTAATTCTATCTAATCTAATGTGTAATCTAATCTAACACTATAAAAAGAATATTTCCGTTACCCTCATATCTGCGCTGGTGGGTCTGTAGTAATCCCTCCTGAAGATCTCTGTCATGTTCTTCAGGACATCCAAGATGGCCAGCAGGTCGCCGCTGTAGCTCGTTCCATCGCTGGATGTGACCCTCAGCTTGGTCAACACGTCTGAGACTCCATCTCCCACAAGGCCTCGCTGCGCCTTGGACAGATGCTCACGAGTCTGAAGGAGAAAGTTTCTGTTGGTGTCTCTGATATATTTATTTTCATGATCAGATGGATCCAGCAGTTTAATGGAATCCAAATCCATTTCCGGCTGCTGTCAGGTAGAACTTGAAGTAAATGTAAAACATTAAAAT